AAAGTTAAATATTACAAGAAAATGTGCAAAGACCTTCAGTTAGAAAACCAAAAGGGAAGAGCATACTCAGCATTTCTCAAGCTGAGGGAACTCAAGAAAAGTTTCAAACTTCAATTTGCGGTATTGAAGGATTCTCTGGGCAAATTATTGAATGATTCAGAAATCATCAAAAGAAGATGAAGGGAATGCACAGAGTCACTGTACCAAAATGGTCGATGTTCAACCATTTCAAGAGGTAGAATATGATCAAGAGCCTATGATCCTGATGGAAGCAGTACAAGGTATATTGAAGACATTGGCCAAGAACAAGGCATCGGGAGTTGATGGAATACAAATTGAAATCTTTCAACAAACTGATGCGACACTAGAGACACTCACACATCTATGACAAGAAATTTGGAAGACTACTGACTGGAAGAAAGCCATTATTTGTGCCCATTCCAAAGAAATGTGACCCAATGGAATGCAGAAATCATTGGACAATATCACTGATATCCCATACGAGTAAAGTTTTCTAATGGTAATGCAAAAACAGCTGCAACCGTACATTGTCAGAGAACATCCAGAGGTTCAAGCTGGATTCAGGAGAGGATGTGGAACGAGGGATATCATTGCTGATGTCAGATGGATCTTGGCTGAAAGCAGAGAATACCAGAAAGATGTTTACCTTTCTTTGACTATGCAAAGGCTTTCGATTGTGTGGATCATGACAAGCTATGGACAACATTGCGAAGTATGAGTATTCTGGAATTAAAGGGTAGATCCATTTGAATTTTAATAGCTATTGCCTAATTGTCCTCCAATGAAACAGACTCCCTTTATACCTCTACCTGTTTCCTGACTCACTCTCATGTTTTTATTTGTAAATCTAAGAAGTGAAAATTGCATTTCATTGTTTAAATGTATTTCTTTAACTGCAAGTATATATGAGGCAGTCCTTTTTCTCTGAATTTCCTGTTTGGGTGGGTCCTTTATCATTTTTCTTTTAGGTTGTTGAACCTTTACTCATTGTTTTGTACAGTTGTTACAAAAGAAATTGAGTCAATAATAAAATTAACATATTGGATAATGTTTATTGGGGTAGAAGTTTAAAGAATCAGGTAACACCAAACCAAAAGTGAAAAGGTACCCTGACAAAACACAGAAGCAAAAGAAGCTTATTTCTGATTGGCTGATACAATTTATTATTGAAATGCTGTCAGGATTTCATTGGCCAAGGAGGGATGCATTGTCAGAATCCTATTGGTCAATGATTGTGGCCTAATTCATAGGAAAACTCGGCTTAATTTTCAATAAAGACAAGTCTTAGAGTTGTTGTCCACCCAACTATAGGTGCTGAGGAGGCAGGGCTTGGTGGCAGAGAGGGTAGAGGTGCAGTGAAATTCGCCATCAGCAATACCACAGAATACAAGGCGAAGCAGGTTCAGGGCAGAGCTCCAAAACTCTGAACTACATAGGTAGGAATATTTTAAAAGTTTGAAGGCTTATAGCTAGTGGAACTTATAGTGGAAGTAAGAAATTGTATACTTTTGAATCTGCCGGCTCAGTGGCCAAGAGCCAAAAACTTGGGTGAGACCAAACAGCAAGACCAAGCAGGGGAGCAGACCCACCATGGAATAACACCTTAGGTTTTGCTTTGTTCTGGTTCTCTTTTTCTTTTTTTCTATCTGTTCATTGGCCCCCACTGTTTGTGCACCTCCATTCTAGTGACTAGAGGGGGTGTCTGAGCAAGTGGACAACCCCCACCCCCACCACTTGTGGGTTCTTCTGTCACACATGCACACAGATACTCTCAGTCCAAGAGCTGGCCCAGAACTGTTTTTTAATAGGGAAAAGGCTAGAACAAGGGGTGTGGAGAGGGAAAGAGGGTTTAAAAACAAAACAGGCTGAAAATTAAATTAAATCCTGAGGTTAAGCATAACAACCAACAGTGGCATCTTGAAATCTCTCAGGCAGCTTTGAAGGCGAGAAACTGAAAGAGGACATTAAAGTGATACTCATATTAGGCTATAGATTTTTTTTTCTTTTTTCTTCTCTCCCTCCTTTCCCTTTACTGCGATTATAGACCACAGTATCCAGTCTAGTTTTGTTGTTGTTGTTATTTTGGTGGTTTTTTGTTTTGTTTTTTTCTTGTTTTTTTGCTGTTGCTGTTTTGTTGTTTTATGCTCCCCCTTTTACCTTTGGGGGACACTTTCTTTCCCTATATTATCTAATAAGAGACAGCAACTGCTGCCATATAGCCAAGTTTTAATCACACTCTATAAAACACCAAAACCCAGGCAAGAACCAATACCAACTGTCATATACCAGGGAAACAGACAACACCTGTTAAAGTTACTCTGACTTAAGCAATAAGAAGAATGAAAAGGGAAGCCCACATCCTGATCACATTTATCTGGAAGCAATCAGAAAGCATAAAAAATACCAAAACACACACTCAATTAATTATTAAGGGCACAGATAAACACTAAACATGTCCAAGAAGCAAAAGCAGATGACCATATCAGCACATGTCCAGAAACAAGATAAAATGTCTGAGACAAATGACCTAGAGGTAGACCTGGACTCTATTCTGGAAGGAGGGCTGGTCTTGGAAATGCCTGAGAAGGAATTCAGAAAAATGATTATAAAATGTTTCCAAACACTTTACAATGGAGTTGAGATAAATAAGGAAGAAGTCAGGAAAGTGATACAGGAACAATCAAATATGATAGATACAGCATTGGAAGCAATTCAAAACCTACAGAAAGAGGTCCAAATGATCAATAATAGAATATAAAAAATAGACAATACACTGAAAGGGCAAAGGAGTAGAATAGAAGAGGTGGAAAACAGAACTAGTGAGCTGGAAGACAAAGTTCTCAATACCACTAAGATAGAAGAGCAAACAGAAAAAAGGATGAAAAAATATGAAGATGGTCTAAGATTCGTGTTGAACAACATGAAGAGGAATAACTTAAGAATTATCAGCATTCCAGAACTGGAAGAATCACACAAGTCCACAGAGAAAATAGTTGAAGAACAGCTGGAAGAAAATTTCTCTAACATCCTGAAAAATGAAAAGATAAACATTCAAGAAGCTCAACGAACCTCAGGAAGGACAGACCCCAAAAGAAAATCACCAAGACATATCATAATCAAGCCCTGCAAAATCAAAGATAAGGAGAGAATCCTGAAAGCAGCTAGGGAAAAGAGAAGCGTTACATACAAAGACAAGCAAATCAGATTAAGCTCGGATCTCTCAGCAGAAACCATGCAAGCAAGAAGGCAATTGGGAGACATATATAAAACCCTGAAAGAAAAAAAAATGTCAACCAAGAATCCTTTATCCAGCAAAGCTATCTATCAAATACAACGGTGTAATCAAAACATTCCAGGATAAACAGAAGCTAAGGGATTTTGCCAAAGCCAACGCTGTGCTACAAAACATCCTAAAGGGAGTTCTGTGGACTGAGAACCAACCAGAACAGACAACAACCGGAGATTGACATATGTGGCAGCACCTCCCAGAACTAAATCAACAGAAGGAAGAGTCGAGAACGGAACAAAATTACAAGAACAAACTCAGAGAATCTGGGAGGTCAGTCTACGATCTAAAGAATCACAGTGTAAAAGAAGGTAAACATGTAGGAACAGAGATCCAGATGGTGAGAAGGTCAAGTAAATTACAGGATAAAATAGACTGCACTAAATGGAGGGAAAAGTTAATGGAATATAAGGTAACCTCAAAGGGGGAAAAAAAATCAACTACAGGTGCCTTTTTGTCAACCAGCAATTCCATTTTTATTTTATTTAACAGAGCTCTTTATTCCCAAATAAAATTCCCAAAACCAAATGAAACCCACAGCTGTCAACTGGATTCCAACCCATAGTGATCATATAGGACAGAGTAGAACTGCCCCATAGGGTTTCCAAGGCTGTAATCTTTACAGAGCTCTGGTAGTGTAGTGGTTACGAATCAGGCTGCTAACCTCAGGGTCAGCAGTTTGAAACTACCAGCTGTTCCATGGGAGAAAGATGAGGCTTTCTGCTCCCCTAAAGATTTACAGCCTCAGAAACCCTGTTCAGGGTCGCTATAAGTTGGAACCGACTCCATGGCACATAACAACAACAACAATAATCTTTACAGAAACCAAGGGCCACCCCTTTCTCTTGCTGGCCAACTGATAAGTTCCGACTGCTGACCTATCAGTTAACAGCTAAATACTTTAACTAGTGCACCATCAGGGCTCCTCTCTAAGGAAATTAACCCTTTGTAATTATTTCACCAAGTTTGTGTTTGTCTTTGGTTATTTTTTGTAGTATTTTTTTCCCCTACAAAAGTTAAATTATTGTTGTTATTGTTAAGTGCTGTCGAGTTGATTCCAACCTGTAGCGACTCTGTATAGGGTTTCCGAGAAGCAGCTGGTGAGTTTGAACCGCCAACCTTGCAGTTCAAACGGCTTTGCGGTCTGGCGTATTAATGCACAGCACCACATCAGGACTCCGTTTTAATTATTAGGTAATCAAATTGATCACTATATATGTTATGAAATATATATGGGTTTTGTTTCTTTCATTGAAAAGCCTTTCCCACTCCTTTATCATTATCAATGTTTTTCCCAGTCTTCCTCTAGTACTTCCACTAGTGTGTTCTTTACTTTACATTTTTTATCAATATGAAATAATACATTTAGTAAGGAGTCCTGGTACCACAGGAGTTAAAATGTTCAGCTGTGAACTCAAAGGTCTGTGGTTCAAACCCACGAATGGCTCCATGGGAAAAAGAAGACAGTTCTGCTTCTGTATAGATTTCCATAGCCTTGGAAACCCTATGGGACAGTCCTATAGGGTTGTCATGAGTTGGAATTGACGGGTCACCTTGTCCGCAGACACCTGTCCTGTATATGGTCCTAAAGTACTATGTGAATTTTTGGCACTGTTCCTGGCTTGTCTGAATAAAAGGCACATTCCAGGATTGCTGTGTACGTGCTGCTGTTAACCCCCTCTCTCCCTTGCAGGTCCGAGTGATGGTGGACCTATGCAACAGCACCCAGGGCATCTGCCTGACAGGTAGGCTGCTGCTGACTGGAATCTACCCACACAGCAAACACATGTGCTGGCCAAAGGGCCAGTAGCTTGAATGAACATCTAGGAGCATTTTAAGTTGTAAGAAGACTTGGTAGCTTACTTTACCAGATGTTTTTAATAGGCTGAAGAAAATCAATTATAACATAATTATAAAAAATAATATTTTCAGCATTGTCATAGAAATAGTATCATGGAAAATAACTTGGTCTTTGGTAATTAAAAACGTGTGGTACCTTGGACCAGGGCCATCGATGTTTTCCTTATTCTCACTAATTTATAAAAAGAAAAAGACTTTGTGACATGAAAGAGCTCTCTTCCCAGCGAAGGATTAAATTTTTCTACATGTACAGCTTGAATGGAAAGTTCTGGAAGCACATTGTTTAATTAGTCAAAAAAGTTTTAAGAAGTCTTCTGTGTGGTACCTACCTAGTATTAGGTAGGACAGATTGGTCATCCCCTCTCCCTCTTTCATGCTTTATTAAAATGATTCGCGCATTAATAGAAAGGAGGGACAGAATTCGTTACACAAGCACATCCCAAGGACAACTAATGGCTGATGGATGGGGGCAGGGAGGGGAGAGCTTGTGTTGTGATTCTGTCTACCTGAAAGAAGAAGCCCTGATTATGCTAACTGCAAGGTCGGCAGTTCAAACCCACAAGCTGCTCCATAGGAGAAAGATGAGGCAGTCTGCTCCCATAAAGATTTTTAGCCTCAGGAACCCTGGTGATTACATCCAAAAGATGCCAGCCATTGAAAACCCTATGGAGTACCATTCTACTCTGAAATACATGGGGTTGCCAAGAGTTGGAATTCACTTTAATAGATAACCACAAGACTTCAAAGCCGCAGGAAATCGTTGTTGGGCCTTGTCAGTTTATGGCTCCGGGGGTCTGAAGAGGCTTGGTTGGTGTTTCACAAGGTTACTTACTGAGGTTGAGTTTGAGAAACTCAACAGGGTCTGCATTTAGCTTTAAGAAACCTCACCTCTCTCTGCAAGACTCCCTCCCCCAAGTCCCTCTCATTGTTGCTGTTAGGTGTGGAATCATAGTGACCCTCATTACCTGCTACCATTGAGAGCTCAGTGCGTGCAGGCTGAATTACTAAACCTGTTTTTCAGTGCATAAATGGAGGTGGGGTCTGGGAACAAAGACAATTCCCTGAGGAACTGCTGAGCCCACATCTGCCTTTCTCTTACTTTGGCCTCTGAGAGAAAAGCTGTGGCTTCTTGAGCAATGCTAATTCAATTACTAAAGTCCCATCTCAGCCCTCACAGAAAATTAAATGTCTTCAGAACAGCTTGGTCCTTTACTCTGCAACTTTTGTGGCTGAAGCACCTTCCTTCTGTCTCTGGAAGTCCCTTTTCAGAGTCTCCGTGGAGTGTGACCATAATGAGTGCTAGAGAGATGCTCACATGGATGAAATTAAAGGCACAAAAGCTTTGTTGAGAGGTACAGGAAAGTCTCTTCCTTTTTTTTTTTTTTAAATATGACAGTAATAGATGGAGAGTGCGGCTGTTCAGTGAATGTGCAAAAGTGAGGACGTTATCAAGACCACTCAGGGGAGGTTGGGAGGAGATCATATCTGAGCTGGAAATGGGTTGAGTTGGTTATTCTTTGGCACCTTCAAATGTTTTTCAAAAGTACTTTCTCTTTTTACTCCAACTTGAAATCTTTGTCTTTTACCCCAAAAGCTCTTCAGTTAAAACTTAGGTGTGAAAGTACAAGCTGTAAAGAGAGATGGTGCCTTAGGATGGGCCAAGCTCCCTGGGCCAGTGAGAGAGTGGACAGCACTTCCCAGGACAGAGTTGAGATACTTAGGATGATGGCGAGAAGAAGAGGGCAGAGCCTTGGTCCAGTGCCCCAAGACGGACAGATAGATTGAGGAGTCCCAAGAAGATGCCAAGTAAGGAGGGGTCACCAGGGGTCATCTTGTGATAGCAAGATCTAGCTTTACACCGGACTCATCTTTGAAAAAGTGGGCACTTGTGACTTGAGGCTAGTCCACTTGTGACCTTGAACCTTCATTCCTGCTAGATCTCCTGCTCTTAGCCATGGTTGCTATGGAGCTAAGCCTAGACCTGGGAAGTTTTGTGCCATTTGTTACCTGTCAGGTACATAGTGAGGGCAATTCGCTTACTAGAGAAGTCTGGTGGTTTTGCAAGCGGATAATTTGTCGAACATCCTATGCTTTTCTGGATGCATCTTACCTCTGAACCCAGCTTTCCTTGGGGTCCATCTTTTGGGAGAACAGAGGTCTTGAAGGAGGCAGGTTGTTGGGTTAACTCCACCTACAGTGGCCTCCATCTATGGCTGTGTTGGAAAAGCACTAAATCATAGTATTGTTGACTAGCTTGTTAAGCAGAAGCATTTCAAATGCCCATTCCCCTGCAGCCAAGGGACTCTAACCCAGAGATGGCAGCTGCCACCACTCTCTTAACATCCCCAGGGAGATAAAACTAATGGATCACAGTGTTCTCTGGGGCAGGACAATAAATACAAGGCGGGTGAGAATGGTTTCATAACTTGAAGAATGTAATCATTACCACTGAATTGGACTTACCACTACTAAGTCATGGGAATTGGCATTTGAAATAAAACCTATTTGTCATCCCTGCATGATTTGTTAAGCTTGCCATGGCTATAGTCCAAAACTGAAATGCAGCAAATGAATAGGACTGGGCCACAGCTGCAGTTCAGTGGGTGCAGGGCTTTGGTGCCCTGGACTTAGGCAAGAGCTAGAGGCAGGGGCCGCTGCAAGAGGAAGACCGTGGTACATAAGGGGGGCACTTCATCCTCGTCACTGAGGCCATTGCAACCCTGGAAAATGAAAAACAAGCAGGTCTCATAAACAGCTAGCGCAGCCGATTGTGTTTCTACTCAACTGACTTTGTTTGTTGGGTTGCATGGGACAAACGAGCTAGTTGTTTTGGTGTTGATGGATTTGGCCTTCCAAGCTGAAAGTGTGGACCCTCCAGGCCACCTCTTAAGGAGAGTCAAGCATTCTCACAGCCACAGGACTCATGGGATCCTGAGGTTGTGGTCAGGACAAATCCAGACCCAAGGGAGTCCTTGCTGGGGGCCATAGGTGCCGGAGACTCAGGACTACAAGACTCCCGTTTGCGAGCTGCACCTTTTGAGTTGTTCTTAGGTGCCATCTAGTAGTTTTTGCACCATAATGATCCCATGTGACAGAGTAGAACTGCCCCATAGGGTTTTATGGGCTGTGATCTTTACAGAAGTGGATTGCCTGATCTTCCTCCCATGAAGCTACTAGACGAAACCCCTAGCCTTTCAGTTAGCAATTAAATGCTTAACTAGCTGCACCAGGCTGCCTTTACCTTTCACTGCTGTTAGGCTGTCAGTTTGCTTCCGACTCACCCTGATCCCATGCGTGAAAGAATGAAGCACTTCCTGGTCCTGCGTCATCCTCACAATTGTCGTTACTCTTGAGCCCATTGTTGCTGCCACTGTGTCAGTCCATCCATTTGAGGGCTTTCCTCTTTGTCGTGGACCCTGGACTTTACCAAGCATGATGCCCTTCTTCTCCAGGTACTGCTTCCTCCTCTCACTGTTGGAGTTCTTGTTGAGTGCTGTCGAGTAAGTTCCGAATCATTACAACCCTATATAGGATTTCCGACCGAGGAGCAGCTGGTGAACCTGAACCGCTGACCTTGTGGTTCAAACCTATCTTTCGGTCCAGCGCATTTACCCACAGCACCACACCAGGACTCCATCCTCCTTTCATTGTTGTTGTTGTTGTTAGGTGCCATCGAGTCAGTACCGACACATAGCAACCCTATGCACAACAGAACGAAACACTGCTTGGTCTTGGACCACCCTCACATTGTTGCCACGCTTGAGCCCATTGATGCTGCTACTTTGCCAATCCATCTTGCTGGGGGTCTTCCTCTTTTTCTCTGACTCTCTACCTTACAAAACATGATATCCTTCTCCAGCAACTGGTCCCTCCTAACATGTCCAAAGTATGAGAGACAAAGTTTGGCCATCTTGGCCTTCAGCGAGCACTCTGGCTGCACTTCTTCCAACACAGATCTGTTGGTTCTTTTGGCAGCCCATGGCACTTTCAATATTCTCCTCCAACACCATCACTCAAAAGCATCAATTCTTCTATGATCTTCCTTATTCACTGTCCAGCTTTCACATGCATATGAGGTTATTGCCGTGGCTTGGGTCAGGTGCACCTTAGTTCTCAAGCTGCTATCTTTGCTCGTCAACACTTTTTAAAAAGGTCTTGTGCAGCAGATTTGCCTAATGCAATACGTCGTTTGATTTCTTGACTGCTGCTTCCATGAGTGTTGGTTGATAGCTGATCCAAGAAGAATGAAGTCCTTGACAACTTCAATCTTTTTTCTGTTGATAAGAATGTTGTTGATTGATTGGTCCAATGGTGAGGAATTTTGTTTTCTTTACATTGAAATGCAATCCATACCGAAGGCTGTGGTCTATGATCTTCATCAGTAAATATTTTAAGTCCTCTTCACTTTCATCAAGCAAAGTTGTATCATCTGCATATCGCAGTTTGTTATTGAGTCTTCCTCCAATCCTGAGGCCACGTTTTTCTCAGATTATTTGCTCAGCATGCAGGTTGAATAAGTATGGTGAAAGAATACAACTCTGTCGCACACCTTTCTTAATTTTAAACTATTCAGTGTTCCCATGTTCTGTTCGAACAACTGCCTCTTGGTCCATGTACAGCTTTCTCATGAGCACAATTAAGTATTCCGGAATACTTATACTTCACAATGTTGTCCATAGCTTGTCATGATCTACACAATCGAAAGCCTTTGCATAGTCAATAAAGCACAGGTAAATATCTTTCTAGTATTCTCTGCTTTCAGCCAAGATCCATCGGACATCAGCAATGATATACCTCTTTCCAGGTCCTCTTCTGAGTCTGGCTTCAATCTCTGGAAGTTATTTGTCAATGTATGCTTGCAGCCATTTCTGTATTACCTTTAGTA